GCCATCAATCACCCGGCCTGCTCCCTCACTTCCTTAAGTCTACACTCGACTGTCACCCTTTTAAAGAGACCCTCCTCTGACGACACTATATAAAATACCAACCACCAAAGAATGGCTGAATGAAACGTTCTATCTCCTATCCATGGAGTACTATGCAGCTGTACAAAATGAATGAGGCTGATCTCTGTGAAGTGGTAGAGAAGGCTTTCCAGACATATGGTTAATTGACAAAAACAAGGTACAAAAGAATGCACACAGTGTATGTTGGTTACCTGCTGTTTAGAAGGGAGTTAGAAGCAAACATATGTATCTGTTTATATCTGCAAATAGAAACAAGATAAAACAGAAACAAATTATATGTTAGGGGAGAGGAGAAGGAAACGATAGGATTTCTCTGAGCGTATTTTTAGATCGTTTTGATTTGAATCATGTTAATATATTACATATTAAAAAATTAAAGCAAGGGGGAAAACTCCTAAAATTGAATAAAACCAGAAATAAATTCCTGCAACCAGATATAAGTTGATAACATAACCACGCAGAAGAAAAAAATAGTAATCCGAGCAACTTTACAATCCAGTATTCTGTACATATGCAGCGGGATGTAAGGAAGAATAAAAATTACGGCAAGAAAATCTTGAACTGTATTTATTAACACTTGTGGTACTGGCATAACAACTGTGAAACTGTTTTGTGTTTGATGTAGATTAGGAAAATATACGGATGCTACTAAATTCTCTACATTGGAGAAAGGAGACACAAAGATGGAATGGAGGAAGAGAGGAACCAAATGGTTGGATGAGCTTTAGCAGTGACGAGATAAACCAATGGGTGTGAAAACTATTTCCTTGCTCTGACAGCCGGCAGGGCCAAAGCCATGAATCCAGTACCTTGAGCACGCCTAGCACCCAGAACTAGATGTCTAAATGCCATCGCCTACCAAAAGGAAGGAGGACATTTAATGATTCCAAGGCTGAGGCAGGAAAGGTACAAAAGGAGTCTAGAACTTTCTGTGCCAGAAAGTAAGGAAATGCTCAAAAACTCATGGAAACATGGCAAAAGGGCACTAAAGCTTGGAAGGGTATCCACTTGCCACACTTGAGATCACTGAGCACCAAACGGATAAAGTAACGCCATCTTTAAAAACACCCATGAGTCCACGGATAAAACGAAAGGGAGATGCAGAAGCTCTTCATTACTGAAGAATGTCAGTAACGTAGAAAGAAAAGGAGGAAGCAGAAACTGCCGTCTGCAAACTTTTTAGTAATAATGGACTTGAGGAAGAATCCTCATCGGACGCTAAAACATTGGGTGAAAGATTGTTGGGGACAAGGATAGTCATACAATGTCAAAGTGTCAATAAATCACACACTGTTTACATAGGGAGAAAGGTGTCTCTACAGTGGAGAACTCTGGTGAACCTCACCTTAACCAAATAATCAAATATTTCCAATATATCTCCAATAATGGATAAATGGGCTGCTCCTGACACTGATGAGACCCACTGAGGACACAACACACCTATGAAAAATTCCTGCCCAAGAAAGTTTTAACCAGAATCTAATCACAAGGAAACGGACAAGCCAAATCAAGGGACGTTGTAAAAAACAACTGGTCCAGAGTCTTCAAAAATGGTGACATCATAAAGTACCAAAAAAATAAAAATAAAAAAATAAAAAGGTCAGCAATACTTTTAGATTAAGGGGGTTAAAGAGTCATGATTTCCAAATGCAGTATGTGGTCTAGGACCAGGTTTTAATGTCTCAGAAAGAATGATTCACACTGTATAATGGTTCTGTGATTTACTGACCACGGTGTTCTTAGAAAATATATGTTGAACTAGTTAGTGGGAAGGTATTATAAGATCTGCAACTCGCAAACGGTCTAGCACCAAAAAAAAAAAAAAAAAAAAAGTTAAGTGTTTGTGTGTGTGTATAAAGAGAAGTAAACCAAATGTGACAAAAAGTTAATAATCGGTGATTCAAGGAGAAAAGTATGTAAGTGTTCATTATGTTGTTTTTGCAACTATTCTAAACATTTCAAATGTTCCAAAGTTTTAAAAACTTAAAAAGAACTATTAACCACTTCTAGTCCCCCTTCCTTTGTGCAACCAGTCTCTATATTAGTAAATATTTACTTTACCACAACCAATTTTTACTATTTATTTACTGTCTCTCTCTCCCATTGTAATGTAAGTTTCACAAAAGCAGGGAAGAGTGCGTCCTTTGCTGCATCCCCAGGCCCTTGTACAGCGCCTGACACACAGATGATACTCAGCATTTGTTGAGTGATGTTTAGTCATTCGATGACGTACATACTGATATCACACTTTCTCTCGTGTGAGTGGTGCTCGCTCTCTTCAAAAGCAAAGATACCGAGGTACATAAAAGTCGGGTAACTTATAGAAGTTATAACTCAGGTGAGGGGTGGGGCCGGGGTCTGAAGCCAGGCATCTGACTTTAGATCTGATGCTGTCAGGCACCAGTACACAGCTTCCCTAGTGATGCAGGCTCCAGCCCAAAGGGCTCACATTCTGCAGGATGCACCACTCAGCCTTGTCCTTAATGCAAGGCCTGTTCAGAGCAGGTGTTACTCATACCTGCTGAATGAAATGACTTCTGAATGAAGAAATGAATTAGGAAGCAGAGACCACTGTGACGGGGCTGTCCGGAGAATCTTGCTGGAGGAGGTGGGGGCTTGATGGGTAAATTGGGTTTTTATAACCACACACAAATTTCACTTCTTTAATATAGTTTTTTTTTTTTTTCCTCTGATTAGAACTGGTCTTGCCCAGACAAGGGCATTGTGATCACTTGCTTTTTCCACCTTTTACCCTTCTACCACAGAGTGCCTGCTCTTTCAATCCTTAAGTCTCAGGGCATGAGATTAACTGAGCCTCAGGTCTATAGTCATGAGCCTTGTTCCAGTAACATGAAGAATACCATCTTAACCTGAGATGTGTTTCAGCTCCAGGCCCATGAGGCAGAACCCCACCAGCCATGGGACCAGGCCACGGGACCACACAGGATGGCGCCATGGCTAATTTCAGAACCGAACACAGCGATCAATTACTTCATCCCCCTCCAATCGTCCAATCGACAGCACCCCCAACTCCCTTAGTTTCCATGACTACTGATTTTTCCCTCTGTAACGCGTGCACTCCTGAGATGCCCCGGGAGCCAGGCTGTTGAGAGCAATAGCTCGCCTGTGCCTCCAGGACTTGAAACTCTACATAAATCTCACTTTCTTTGCTGCAAAACTTCTCTCGTCTGACTCAGACGCCCGCATGCAGACAGACCCCTTTTGCTCCAGTACCAGTTTTAGTGGAAGAGAGACCACAGGTTCAGGCAGCAGTGACCAAAGGTGCATTCTGGGACCAGGCAGAGACTCATTCATCTGGAGGAGAGTCACCCCATCCATTGAAGCTCTGAATGTGTCACTCCCCCTTCCTCACTGCCACCAGCACATGAAATCCGAGCCCTGTGATCGTCTCTGCCCCGGCCTCCCTGCCTCCAATTCCTCCCATCTGCTGTCCTTCCTCTTCACTGCTGCCCGATTTTTCTTCCTAAGTGCATGGTTCTGATCCCGATAAGCCCAGAAAGGGCTCTCCTTTGCCTGCTGAAAAGAATCCAAAGTCCCAAAGGGCACAGTCGGGGCTGTGCTATGGGGCCTCAAGCTCCGGTGGGCACGCCCACTCTGCATTGCTTAAGCTCCCCCTGGATACTCTGCTCCCCTGTCTTGGTCACCTGGTCTCCTCCCCGTGGAATCTTGTCGCACATCATGGCACATCCACATACCAGCTGTCCTCAGAGGCTGGGTTCAAATACCCTCCCTTCTAAGAAGTCTTCGCTTCTCAAAAGATTTTCAGTTTCACAAATGATATTGTTTTCTCTCCTCTGCATGCCCATAAAACTTTCCGTTTAACTTGTCTTACAATGACTGCCATGCCTGAGAAGGTAAGTGCTCTGAGCCCATCTCGACCCCTCCCCGTAGGCGGTTCTCCATGGATGCGTGGACCCACGGACACTCAATACACGCCTGTGCAGAATGGAGATGGAAGACTGACCTGGTCGTAGGCGCAAAGGCGCCCGCCGTGGGCAACCCCCCCAAAAAAGAAATTTCTATGCGCCAGCCGTTTGCCTATGACTTAACCAGGGACCTGTGTGTGGAGGAGTTCGCGAGGGTGGGGAGGTAAAAATGGAGACGATTTCACGGGGCCATGGTGACGATTTCGCTGGAGTGTGACGGGGATGAACGCAGCCCTAGCCACTCGCACGTTAGTGCCTTCGAGCTCTGAAGAGCGGGGAAAGGCGTACTCACTACTCAGCAACCTCGAAGTGATGATGCCCTCTTCCCCGACCAGCAGCGGAGCAATTCGGAAATAACCCACGTCCGCCACCAGCGGCATCAAGTGGAAGTTCAGAGTTTTCGGAGCCCGCCCGCCAAGGCGGGTGAGCAGGGGCGCGCCGCACCAGGGCGCCACCTGCGCGCAGGTGGTCCCGCCACCCGGATCGCGGCGGGCGAGGTCGCAGCGGCCCGTTCAAGTTCTCGGCAGAGCCCGAGGGGTCACGGAGGCACTCAAGTCTGAGAAAAGGGGCACACCCTTCCGGAGGAACAGCGGGCGGGGAAAGGAGAGAGGGACTGGGGTGGGGGAGACCGTGGGGCTCGAGAAGAAACGCGAGACGAAGGGGCGCAGGGCGGAGGACGGGCTGGAGTCCCGGCCCGCTGCTTCCCAACACGATCCGGTCGCCTGCCGTCCAAGTTTCTTCCCGGCCCAGACTCTTCCCCCCGCCCAAGGGAGACTCGCGGGTGAAATGACAACTCTCCCGGACAAGGTCCCGCCGGCTGCGCTTCTTTGCGCCCCCGCCCCGACCCCATCCCATCCCATCCCAAACCCAACTTGCAGCGCGCCCGGCCGGCCCGGAGCCCCGGGGTCGCGTCGCGGACATGCGCGGCGGCGCCCGGTCCCCGCTGGGGCTCGGGAGAAGGCCGCCACTCACCCAGCCAGTGCAAGAAGTAGACCAGGCTGAAGATTCTCAAGCACCAACCCGCAGAGACGTCTGCGGCCATCGCGAGCCCCGCCCGCTTCTGAGCGGGTTTCGAGCGGGGGCTCGGCCTGTCCCCACACCGCGCTGGCCCCGCCCCGCCGCGGGCAGCGCGCAGCCTCCGCGCACGTTCTTCCTCTTTCCTGCCCGGGGCCGTCCCACCCCTGCCGCCTCCGTCCTCTCCGCCCAGGACGCGGTCCCGGCCCCGGCCCCGCCCGGGCCCCCCTGTCCGCTCTGCAGAGCTCCCCCTTAAAGGTGGCTTGCGACTTTCAAAGGTTTGTCTTTGCTCCTCCCGCATGTCCAGCTCTTCTCCTTGGCACCCGCGGCGTGACGGAGGCAGCTCCGTGGCTGGGGCTGGCGCCCCCCCAGAGCCGCGCCCCACTCGGCTAGCCCCTGAACCGGCAGGAAGACGCCGCCGAAGGACAGGGAGACCCCGAAGCACTGTCTTCCTTCTGAGCTTTCCAGCAGCAGCCGTTTCCTACCACTTACTCAGGTTTTGGAACCCCGGACACGACAGCCTCTCTGAGCCACTCTTTGCTCAAATATTAAAAGAAAATGGGGAATTTTAGACAACTCCTAGAATGTGTGGGGTGACCGGTGCGGGCCCTCGGCTGCCAGTATCTCTTCGTTCAAGTGCATGCCACCTTTTCCTTAAGCCTGACCTGACCCCACTCCCAACGCGCCCTTCACCGGAGCTGGGAGAACCCAGGGGTCGGGTTCTCCCCCGTCCCCTCCTCAGTTTCCCTCTCCCTCCCTCCCCATGGACTTTCCCCCTGTTCACTCGCGGTTTAACCCGCCAAGCCCTGCCCTCCGCCCCAGCTGTTCCAGGCACCAGAGACTCTCCATCCTATTGGTTAATTTTCTTGATTGGCGTGCCCTCCCCTCAAATCCCGTGGGCCCCAGACCAGGTGACTCCCCAACCAGCTCCTTGCGTCCGCCTCCCTTTCCTCTCAGAGGAAGGCTACCCACCCTCCTTTCAGAGAAAAACCACTTTCTTCGGTGAATTTTAAGAATTACAGATGGGTTCTAATCATGTGTCACTGCTGTGGCTTTAATCATTCTGTTGTTCCCGCTGTACAGACGCGGCGAACTCCTCGAAAACAGCCGGGCATTCGAGCTGTGCAGCGAACAGAGTCGTGTGCTCACCGAATGGAAACGCACAGCTCCTTTCCATCCCGGAAAACGCTTGCTGAATCTCTCACGCTCCCCGCGACACTATATGGTCTCAGAAAGATGGTGCGATCGTGCTGCTGAAGCCCTTGGTGGACATGGAGAAGATTGTCCCATGTTCCTGCTCTTTCTCCACCTGTCTCTTCTCACCCCATCCTGCCTACTCCCCGCCTTGCCCCGCCCCCCCCCACGAAAGTGAGAGGTTATAGCCCTACATCCGGAGCTCCACGTGTGTTCTGTTACACAGCCCGCAGCGCAGCGCAGCTCTGACAGTCGAGGTAGATGTGTATATTTATTATAATGCATTTTCAGCAAATGGCAGTAAAGTGTCTTGAGAAAAGGGTTTTTTTTTCTTTGTTTTAAATCATTTGTACAAAAGCACCATTTAGGCTGGTGACAGGGAGTGATAATAAAGACCGCGACTCATGAACCTTGAGCCTAGCAGGCCAATGTCAAGGGGCAAGACTCACTCCAGGCCCCCAGGGCACGGTTTCATGGGCGGGAGTGGCTGAGTGAGGAGAAAGGAGGACATGGAAACAGCCATGGTTTCAACATAATTTACTACAGGTGTCTGAAGTGTATATAAAATGTCTTAGTGCAACATCTTACAAATAGTTTTCCTTTAAAAAACAAACAAAAAATCAACAGCTCTCTACACCATGCATG